AACCCGCGACCCTCGGATTGCGAGTCGAGCGCCCTAACCACCTGGCCATGCGGGGCCTATTTGAAGTTAAGCACAAAGCTACACAATGGGCTATCTGTGCTCTGCCCACCAGGGGTATCTAAACCCGGTTTCAAGCATTGTATGTCGCAGACATACCGCTGTGCCACTAGGGGGCTTACTATTTTAACTTAACTTATTAGTTACTGTAGCTCTCCTCTTCTTCTTTTTTTTGTTTTCAAAGAGGTTTTTTTTAAACTGAAACAGGAGCACAATCCTTCTTCAACTAAAACGAATTTGCTGGATTTCCGGATTTTTTTGAAACTCATCTAGAGCTTTGTTACGTCTTAAGTGATCTTGTATGATCAGAAGAAAAGAAAAGATGTTAACCTCATGACTGATTATTATTTCTTAAATTTTACTAATTATCTCACCGCCAGGTTTGCAGTAGTCGAGTAAGAACTTGAAGTACCTTTAGGTGCCTCAAGCTAAGAGATAATTAGAAAAAGTCAAGAAAAAATATCCCCGTGAAGAGTTAAAGGACTAGTTCAAAAGCTAAATCAATATAGGAAAAAAGGAAACAATATATTCATGTAACTATTTTGTTTCAGGAAATATAATAATTCAAATTCGTATGAAAATCCAATCCAATCTGAGTTGAGTTTGCACTTTACCCAAAAATTCACATTTTTAGTTGCACTAATTCATAATTACTTTTATATTTGTTTTCAGAGGAGGAGATACATACTTGACACGTGATGGCGTTTTAGCTAAAAAATAATCAGTAAGAACTGGTAATAAATTGATCAGGCAAAAAGTAAAGAAATAATATATGATATTAACATTGTAGGCAAAAAATAAATGTGTGTGAAAATAAAGATGTTTGTATCGGTACCTTTCTTGGATCAGAGTTTCTTGTGTGTACCTAAGTGATTTCTTTCAAAGAGTTAAACATTGAAGGCAGATTTCTGGACAACATGTTAGATTTATTCATCTGACGTCCAAGTCCAGCTATTGATCGGATGATCTTCGCGTGGCTGCTTCACGAGTCTTGAGTACGCTTGCATGCAGGAGGATTTGGCGCGCGCAGCCCAAGCGCAGTTTTCCAAAGCTGCATTTTCCTTGGCTGCAGCTCAATAATTTAATTCGTGACAAGTGTCCGCTTAAACACGTAAACAGAAGCCTACTCTTCTACAAGAACTGAGGACGCTCTTGAAGTGAACGGAACTGAAGAGGTTGCTAGTAATTATTCATAGGACAATGATTTCGGGATGGATTACACTTACCTATCTCTTGTTAAGTTTCTGGGTTGTCTATATTAGCAAAGCCAGTTCCGAAACGAAACGGCTTTATGATGACCTCATCAATGGTTACAACTCTCTCATTCGCCCTGTGGGTAACACCTCTGATAAATTAACAGTGAAGATGGGCCTCAAGTTGTCTCAGTTGATTGACGTGGTAGGTTTGAATTTTATTTACGTGAAGCTTTACGGAAACAGCAGACCTCTAAATATCTGTGTTTAACATTCACAGTAAAGACCATTAAATTTATTGTTATCGAAACTTCACATATATAAACAACATCAGTCTGCCAATTGTAAACTTTTACTTTGGTATCCAAGTTACTGTTGTTATTGTCATTTTGGACATTCCACTCCTCTAATACACGAGAAGTTTAATGCATGCTAGACATCATGAGTCAACTCTACTTCTTAAGGTGATTGAGACACTCTTTATTGGGGAAATCAGTTGCCTTAGAAACCATTACAATTTGTTTTGAAATGATACGGTTAAGCAGTTTTACTTTTTGAACTTTCATGAGCAAATCATTAAGTATGTCTAAATATTAACTGAAGTTTCGAGTAAATGTCGCCAAATAAAAGATTTTAATAAGGTGAGTTTTCTTCGCTAATTCGTCTTCGCGTTTACATTTTTTTTTGTAAGTTTGGGAATAAATATTACATTTTCATATTTGATAAACATTTTTTACCCTTAAAAAAAAGAAACATTAAAGTTCTTCTTTTTAGATTTCAATATTTAATCTATTATATTTCATTACTAAAAATAAATGTTCTTAGATTTAGCAATATTAGATCTACTCTGAGTCAATTTTTGATGTCTAATCTGTTGCTGTTAGCTTGTCTTGAAGAAACGCATCTCTGTAAAACACTTTTACTTAACACGATTTCTTTCTTCAATTACAAAATTAAATGTTTTATATTAGAATATCTTCAAAACTCTTCCAGGTTATTGGTACTGTTAATTATTCGAAATAACGTTTCTTCTTGCGCTGGAAAAACCACTAAAGTTTTTCATTTTGAATTGTGAAGTTTGACTGCTTATAGTAGTGTTTCAATTCAATGCCTTTACATTTTGAAACTTAAAATACTTTTTAAATGCCGAAGTTTTATTATTTATTTTGTGTTTTTTTATCAGCGTAGAATTACGTTTTTTTTCTAATGAAAAAATTAAATTATTCATGTTTTTTAATAATACCGATGATTTTTTGTATTAAATTCAAAAGGTTCTTCCCGATAGAAAAATTAGGATTGTTTTACCCAGGACGTTTATTGAGTATGTGTCTCTCGAAACTTCACGTAAGAATGACACCATCCGTATTGAGTTATTGTGAAGATTGACGGGTTGGTAGCCCTTAAATCTGTATCAGTATATGTGTAATGAGCGCGAGTATTTGTATTACGTTCCAAAGGCATTCCGAACAGTCTTGCTGCTACCATTTGTTTAATTCTGCTGATGAAACGGTTGATACTTACGTATTTTCACATTGTAGTGATTTTGAATTGGAACGTAAATAAAATAAAAATCTAGGTGTCGATAATAACAAGTAAGATGATAGTTTAAATATCGATGACACTTATTCGTTGGAGTAAACCTTGATGAATACTTAACTAGGATTTATCGAGCTTTGATAGCTCTAGCTTCCACTTTAATACGTTGTAAATTGTGGTTTAATAACCTTGTGGGAACGTGAAATAAGTAAGTAATAATTAAAGGTTTGAGGGTCATTAAACATTTAGTATTTGATGTAAGAACTTTTAGTAACTTGAGTTATTGAGTGCTAAAACATTTAACTACAAGCTTTGAACAACAGCTCCGTGAGTGAAGACATAAAACAAAAAAATCACATTCCTTAAATTATAATATTTGTATTTTCAAATTCGTTTCAACTTACACTGTATATACAATGTTTGGTTTCAATCATAGATTTTCGTGCTTTTATAAAAATACTAGACCACCCGTGACCCGTTGGGTCACCCACCATTCACAGGTTATGATGAATTCAAGCTAATTTCATAATTGCACCGAAATGAAGGTTTATTTTGAGAAAATTTAATTAAATATTTCAATCCATTCGTGTT